TCAACAAATTAGAATTTATGCTGCTTTGATGTTTGAGATACATTTTTTTTTCTTTTTATTTGCATGTAAATATTCAGTTTTCTGCAGATGACATAGAACAGGAAAATCTACTTACAGATCTGTTATCTTTTTACAATTGTTCAAATTTAGCTCTTCTATATTTCTGCACTGTTGTGAAAATTTCCTGCAATTAAAAATTAAAATAACTTGAAAAAAAAAATAAAAAAAATAAAATGGGGGCCATGTAATTATTTCCACAATTGTAGAGATTCATATTAGAAATACAATTTTTAAAAATGCACAGTTAAAAACATTACATATGAATATCAAAACTATATAATCCTAAATAACAAAAATACAATCTAAAACTTCATTTTCCTTCTACACTTTTTTTTTTCTTATCATTAAAAAGCATTCCTCACCAGGCAACACAAGAGTGCCACTAGTACACAAGCGGTTACAGAGAATGAAAGTAAGAGAAAAGACCTGACATAGTGGGAATTGAGGAAAGGATAAAAATAACAAGGCATCAAAAGATGTCAATTGACATTACATTTAAATTTTTGAAGATTATAGTTATTAGGGAAGCAAGTAAGGGGAAGGGAGTTCCACTTTTGGGAAGTGTGAGAGAAGAAGCTTGTTTACAGTATCGAAGCAAAAGATGAACTTAAAAGTAAATCACATGCTTAATCACTTCATTATAAACAGTATTTTCTTCATTAGCAAAAAAATTTAAAAAAAAAAAACTTTTTTTTTTTCTAGAAAAATACAGCAAAGAAATGTTTTTTTTCAAATGTACTCTATCCACAATTTTTAAAAATTATACAATTCCACAAGTAAAACTAAAAAATTGATGATTAAAAAACTTAGTAATTATAAGTTTTAATGCTTAACAATTTGCACTGAAATTTAGTAATAAATTCAGTAATTTTATTTCCAGAATTACTAGCAAAACGATGAATAACGACTTTCCATTCCCAATTGCTCCCATGTTCTTAGGGAATGACAATCTGAGTTGTCTCCCCTTGTTTAAAAATCGAGACCCATCACTGTATAATAATGCTTGTTAAATTGATTAGTGAATAGGTTGCAGGTATGTATTAATTCCTAGAATGAGATTTCTTTAGGAGATTCAATAAAGCAATTACTTTTTTGTAAGAGCTTCGATATTGGAATAAAAAGAACAAACATACAACAATAACAACACAAAACCAGGTATCTCAAATTTAACAATTATTTTAGATTAAAAAAAAACCCATAAACATTAAAAATATATTTTTAAGTAGTTCTCAAAAGTAAAAAAAAAATTTTGTAATGCAGAAAAAGAAAAAAAATTCTTGATTATGTCTAACACTAAAAACAGATTTTCTTTGTCAAGCATTCTAATCTCATGAAAATGAATTTGAGCCATGTTCCAGCTACACAAGTTCTAATGTAGAGAGAAGATAATTGCAAATAATTTTTTTTCCAATCAGTAATATTAATAGCAGGATGTGTGGTTAGTGTGACAGTTATCACAGAAAATGGAATGCATTCATTTTCACACTAATATTCTCAGGAAAGACATGAAGACATTGCTTATTTCAAGAATTAAATAGTAGGATACACTGGGTGCTCCAGCCTTGGGTAGCAGCTAGCCTAAGACAAGGATTACTCTGAATTGAAAATCATGAAAACAACAGGAAACAGCTCCACTATCTTGCCCCAAAATGTTATGGTAATTCAGACAATAAAAGGAATACCCAGAGAGTTAGGAATGCCTTCATCCTTAATTAAAATTAAAAAATTAAATTAAATCCTTCTACAATCCTATCTGTAGCAAACACTCAGTATTAAAATTAACCAAAATTACTAGATTTCAGCAGTAATATAACACATGTTGGAAAAAAAGAAAAAGCACCAACTTCATTTTATTTCTTGTTGAGAAAGAATACGGGTGTGTCCCAAAAATTCCAATTTTTAACATCTTTTCTCAGGTTTCTATTTGGTTTAAAGACTTAATACATATTATTATTAGTGTTTTTTTTTTTTTTAAAATCACTCAAATTTCTTTCATCAGCCTACTATATAAGCCCAAGAATTTCAAGCTGTATTTTTTTTTTTAATATTTCTTTGTACTAATAGGATTTCCTTTGGCATAAGGCCTCTTATGCAGACTGTGAGGATCAACCTCAGTATATAGTAACTATCTCTATGATGAGCTTATTTGCCATTTGTAGTTAGGCAGCTTCTCAGTAAAGACCCTCTTTATGTGTCATTTTGATAAACATTACTTTCTTATTGTAAGATGTAGTAAATGTAAAAACACCTTCACATGTAATTTATCATCAAAAATGTTGGTATAAAGCTCACATGTAAAGTAAAAAAATTACTTTATTTGTAAATCCTACAGTTTTTAGTTACATTAGTTGTAAGTGGACTGAACGAGTCAGGTGCTGTGCCATCATGTTCTCTACATATTCAGTCGGGGCCAAGACAGGTCTGGCAATCAAGTCATTCA